AATCCGTGCACCTTTTTAAGAATAGGAAGTGCAAAAAGCTAAAATTTTTGTAGTAATTAACATTTGTGTAAAATATATTTTTTAAAATATTTTTAGAGGTATAAAAAGTAGCTGTGCCACTAGGTAAGCCATCGAGAGAATAATTTTAATCGTGAAAAATATATAACGTGATACTGCAATTCACATGCACCTTATCAACCCACCCCTTTTTATCTAACTTTTGTGGCGGGACGGGTGATTTTTTCGCGAGTGACTTTTCGATTCGATCTTGCAACTGATAGCACCGTGTTGACGACAGGTAGTCCAAAAGTCGGCCCATAAATCAGTCGGGAGCTCGGATCAACGCGAGGTGTTGTCAAAATGTCGGACAGCATTTTCAGTCTCTCTGCTAGTGGGTGGTATCCTGTGCATTTTCAGTGAGGTCGAGCGGCATTGAGACCCATGTAAATGAATCAAACACAGACCCCGAGGCAGTGTTGCCATTTTTGTAGAGAATCCTCCAATTTTATCGTGAAAAGAGTTCGATGCATGAAATAGGGAAATGCATTTTTTCATTGCATCGTTTTAAAATCCACTGGAGAAAAAATGTCTCAAATTTGCTGCCAAGATTTTTTTTTCTCGGATGAAGAATGGTGCTGTCTAATTTGAGCTACTTTTTTCCTGAACTCAAGACTTTTCCTTTTGTTCCAAGGAAAATTCAGTTTGAATTAAAATGAAAAAAAAGAAAAAATCTAGACGGCCAATCCAAAAATCATCACGCTTGAGCCAAGTAATGTTTTCTTCTGTGTCTCCTATTAGAGATTAAGTCTACTTCGGATTAGATCCGTATAAGAGACTATAAGAGAAACAAAAAAAAACAAAAAAAAAAAACATAATAAGCTTTGTCTTCCTTGAATGAATTGTTAGTTTGTGGTCTCACTATGGATTTACGAAATAAATTATATCCAAACACTGGTAAAAAAAAACCTCTTGGTTCAAGAGTGCAGTTTCTTCTCGCCGGATTTAAGAGTCTGGACTCTTGTTTCAAGCGGATTTTGAATTGAATCAATGCAAAATCCGCTTGAAACAAGAGTTCAAGACTCTTAAATCCGGCAACAAGAAACCGGCACTCTTAAGTCAATGCACCGCGGCATTGGTCCAAGAGGTTTTTTTTACCAGTGAAAAGTTCAAGACTGATAGATTTTTTTGTAAAAAAAAAAAAAAAAAAAAAAAAATAACAAATGATTGTAGGCTGACAAAATCTCAATCAAAGGTACGCATTTTTTTGACTTTCAAGTGTGCTTTTTCAGCATTCTACGAAGTAACCACTTCCTGTGATGACATTCTTAGAGTTTTCTATCCCTGATTCATTTTAAAAAATCACAAATTAAAAGCGACGACTATAAACGTGTCTCGATACACGTAGATCCTTGCTTGCAAAATCTGATTACGATAACGCGAAAGTGGCAGCTGCGCTAACAGCGTGATTAACGCCATGCGCCACCTTCACTCCGGTGTGCGCCAATTTCAGCAGCACCATTCCTGGGCATCCATTTCAAAAGGGGGCCAATGCCAATGTCGAAAATTTTGCATCAGGAAAACGGTGGAATCCTCAGTTAACTCGAACGGATGCAAAGTCAGTTTCGTGGAGCTATGTACATGTTACTTATATGAGTAATACGCCTCTTGCAGAATCGGTTTAGAAGATTGATAGTGCAGTAAATATAGGAGAAAAATGTAACCACTTTAGAATATCGATGGTCAAGTGCGAAACCACGAATCTCCGTTTGCGACATTAATTGTAGACTTCCCGTCATACTTTACTTGAGGGGCTTGGAGGACAAGACGCATGAGTGCAGTTTTTGAAAATATTGAGATATTGATTTCAAGTAGAACTAGTCTTGATGCATATTTTGTGACAAAATCACTCCATTTTTTAGCGCAAAATTCCAATTTTTTAGCGCATCAAAAATTCAGTTTGAACTTTCTTTTAGCAATAAGTATTAATGCCATTTCGAAACTTTAGACACGTATCTCTCGAAATAGCAAAAACTGCACATATGCGCCTTGTCCTCCAAGTCCCTCATTTGTTCTTTGAAACCAGTCAACGTAATTTCCTAAAAACTTCTTCGATTTTTATTCCCTGCCAGCAGAATATTTTGTATGCATTTGAAAGTGCAAAGTTGGCTTGCCTCTCTTTGAAACAATAGAATAAGACCGGAAATTTTGAAATGCCGCAATGGAGATACGTCTCACAATTTTTGACGATATGACACCGATGACTCAAGCAAGTTTAATGACGGAAGTGCATAATTACTGTACAGTGCACATGTACAGTGTATATGCTGTACAGCGGGGTAGGGTAGGTTCGACACCAAGAAAATACGATTTTTCAACGAATTGAGCGCGCACCGTGATATACGCGCAATGCATGGAGTATCATGTAGACTTGTAAGGCGCTATTGTGCGCGCCGAGCTGTACGCGCAATGCATGAAGTATCCTGAGGCCTTGTAAGGGGCTACTATGTTTTTCGTGCCGTGCGCGCTAGCTCCGCGCCGGCCGCACTGTGTTCGTCGCGATTATTCAAACTTGCGGCGTTAGTGGTTTTCAACTTATAATTTTGAAGTTTTTGTACTGTTTGTTGGAATTATTTCGACAAGTCATTGACTGTAATTTAGTCGACACTATATCAACGTAGCCATTTCATAGACAAAATGATAGAAATAATTAGGTAAAAAGGACGTATTACGTAAAATAATTTTCCTTATTTTATTCAAACAATATATTTACGACAAAATCATTTCAATCAAACGTGCTTTACTTGACATTAATGGCAGCTAGTTTTAAGGTGTGAACTAGCAGTCATCAGCCGACACTGCAATTGTGGTATGCGATCATCGAACACGAACAGAGTAGAAAGTTGCGGCCTAATGAGTGTTCTAATTAAATTAGACATACTTTTATGTACTCGGCATAAGAGAACTACGTGTATATAAATTTTGATAACGGTATGTCAGGTTTGAGGAAAATGATGTCAATAACTTTTGAGTTCTTACACGGTATGTTCAAAGCAGTTTCCTAGATTCCGACCATCGTCATTGCCGGCTGATTGCGTTTATAAAGTACTGACTTTATGGGTAAACGAAGTAAGTTATGAAGCGTATTACAATATTGAAGCAAAAGGATGGGTGAAGGATCATTCAAGTGACATTTTTAAGATTTTGGAGTATCTATTATTCTCCTCCATTTTTGGAAATCCGGTGTCTACACGTTCCCCTTATAGGCAGTGTTTAATCCTATTATGATCGTTGTTTTACGTTCTCTTAAACTCCAACATCAAGTTGCCGTCAGTAAAATCAAGTCGAGGTCAAAGTACACGTCTTAAATAAGCTGAACTCATTTTTTCACCTTTACATTGGGGCTTAAAGTTAATTTTGCCATAAAGTCTCACGTGACTTTTCAAATCCAATTTTTCCAAAATTTCTTGGAATCGCAAAGATGTCACTCAACACCGCCACTCGAGGATCCCTACATTGATCTGTAATTGGACGTATTTCTACCAAAAGGAACTATATCGACGGTGAAACTACCAAACCACGTATCTCGGTTTGCGACGTCGCAAACTTCCTGTCATACTTTATTTTTTAAATGAAAAACTACTTAACGTCCAGTCTTGAAAATTTCTGTGATTTTTCCTCTTCGTGCGGAGAATATTCGGTGAAAATTTCAAGGAATGATATTGATTTGGTCTACTTCAAAAAAATAAAATGTGAGCGTAGATTTTTAAACACCGCAAACGAGATACGTGGTTTGGTAGTTTCACCGTCGATATGCATTGAGACATGATCCCGGAGACTCAAAAGAATATATGCATGACAGAGCTCACGTCATAATGCACACAGTTCCGTTTGGCAGAAATACGTCCAATTTGTGTCATAAAAAAATTGTCCTTGCAGGTTAAACTCAATAGATGCGGCTAGGGATTTGTTCGTTTCGACATTCATTTCAATTCTTAGTCTTTGATTTATTTAAAAAGTCACGTTCTCATGTCGAAGTAATCCCATGGTGCGACCTTAAAATTTGGTCCTCTTTCGACTAATGTATGTTCTGAGCGGACGATGACATGCTGAGTCACTGCTGACTCTCCCCCCCCCTCACCCATCAGACTCCGCGCGGTCTTACGCGCACACTCATTAGGCACTGCTTCAGGGCTTGAGTGTTTATTTTAGGATACGTGTGTTTTGATTTCTTCTGTTTTTTTTTGTCTTCGTTCCTCACTCTTTTGTTTTTTTCTCTTTTTTTTTACCTAAAAAATGAGTGATTCAAATAAATAAGCTGCGTAAGCTCATTCTGCTCTGTAAGATGAAAAAATGCTTTCGAGCAAGTCATCATATGATCTGACTTTAATGGCCATGATATTGACCACGAATTCAACAGTCTGAGCCGCCGTAGAGGTGCTTCCTTTTAGTATTGGCTGTGCAAAAGAAGATAAGTATAGAAACTCGAACATTTTAAGGAGAAAACTCCTAAAAACGGATAAAATGCCCAAATTAAGAGACCTTAATTTTCTCCAAGTGAATATGCCACCACGCAAGTGTACAAGTCACTAAATTTTAATAGATTTAAAATAGATAAAAATGAACATAAATATTGGATCTAATTTTAGTTTTTTGCGTAAAATTTGTGTACATTTTATTTATAAAATAATGCAAAGAGGCTCCTAATTGGTACATTTTAGCAATTTTAAAGTTTTATGAGGCCCAACTTTATAAGTTAAGGCTACAAGGTTTTCCTCGTGAGTTTGTGATCCGATTCGTGCTGATGCTCTCCTTTGTTTCGCCGTCGACATATTCTGAGCCATGATTTGCCTTCAATATATGAAGTAGGCAACTTTACTCACATGAGCGCGCTTTCTTCCGCATTCAACTGTGATGCATAATGTTATGTCAAAAATGCTTCGTTGTCTATCTTAACTTTACTTACATCTCGTGGAGTAAGTTTATGCTTTCTTTCTGCGTAGAAACTTTGCGGAAATATCCTGTCTCCGGTTTGATGTCAACCAGATGCACAGAATCCTACAAGACTGATCAACTAGAAATAGAAGAAGGAATGGATGTGCTCCTACCTATCCTTTCCATCCATCACGATCCCCACCATTATCCCAGACCAGACTCCTTCGATCCTCAAAGGTTCGCAGCGTGCAGTCTAAATGATGTCTCACAAGTCCCTCTCATGGCTCAACAGATCCAAGATATCGGTAAGTAACCGTTTAACACTTCATTTATAGTCGTTAGCAAAGTCAGGCCTCAGATAGTATTCAAAAGGAAAGAAGACAACTTACAGTCAAACCTGGGCCTGAATGGAAAAAATATATATATATATATTGAAGGGACAAATTCTGTAGGGAGATGAAGCCGATGCAATGAGTATATGGGCCCCCAGGCCCCCAGGATCTCCCCTCAGCAGAGTCTGAACTAGAATTACAAATGTATGGGAGTGGAAAAAATTCTCAAGATGAATTGATACGGTCCTCTTTAAAACCGGATCAAACTAGGGGTTGGGGAGGAAGCAAATAATTTAGGGGGGTAACAAATTTGACTAAGGGTGCACTCCCTTACTGACACTTTGTCCCTCAGAGCACCATGTGGATCTTATTTTTCCTATTCGAACAGACGAATTGTAATCGAAAAGTTACAATATAAAATGGGATGGGAATAATCCAGTAATTTTTTCGAATATGCCCTGCATAATTTTCATTAGTTTTTAATACAAGTTTTGAATGTAGCACTACATGGTATGTTTTAATGTAAAAATTGTGTCCTGGACATCCTCAATCGGAAATTTTTTTTTAGAAATTAAACTAACCAGTTTTCCTTGTGGAAATTGTTAATTTCACACCCTTACACCATGTTTTGCCTAATGCTAGTTGACGTGTAACGTATTGATCAATCTTTTTAACAACTCTTTACGAAAAATTTTCAGCTAACTGCTCAGCTGTGAACATTTATTTTTAGAAAAATTTTAAGATGAGTGGTGCTATCGGTACGGAATAGTTAAAATAAAGTTTTCGAGATCACCTTTTATCTCATCGATTCTCATCTCACCAATGCATATCGCCTCGATATATTGAGCAGCGTTGCTAAAATATTTTTTTCTCTGCCTACGATATTGATACGTATATTTGTTTGAAGCACTACAGAAGCGACAGAAGTATCAATTTTGCTTTCGCAATATTATTCTCGAGCGAATGAATTTATTTTCGCACAAATCTGTCACTTGCCTATTAATTAATTTCAGACAATAATGGTCATTAAATACACATTGTCAAACGTCCGCGAGAGTGATAAAATTAGGCGGCTTTTTTGGGTTAGATAAGTCTCTTGCAAGAGTGGGAGAATATTGATGGCTTTCAGATAGATTCGACATAATTTAGTGGACCCTCAATATTACGAAAACTTACGCCATATGCACAAGTGCTCGTTTTCGGAAATCAGAGCGTATCCTTATTTGTTTAATTAGCGCGACTGCTTTTTTCGAACATAAAACATACTTATTTCAGGAGTTCTATGAAATAATCTCCTTATTGCCCACGTTAAGGAAATTTTAGAATTCCTTGAATTTATCTAAACATCTTGAAACACATTTCGTATACATAAATTCGATCCAATTCTATTGAAATATCAAGCAAAAAATACAAATTTACTTTAAAACCTCCATCAGTATATACATATAACCAGATGAGTGGTAGATTTAGATTTACTTAAATGTTAGTTCTTTTGAAGAATTTCAAAATTGATTAATTACATTTTAACTTGCCAAAACAGTGTTAGTGATTTTACGAAATCTTGGGCCGTTTACTAAATTTCATTGGGCAATTTGTCGAAATTCAAATGTTAATTTTAACGAACTGAAATAATTATTTTTTGTGGATTTTTATGTAATTTCCTCTATATATTTAAGCATTGAACTTTGTACACCATCGAAATTTAATCTACCAACTTTTAACATCTACTCTCAGTATCTCAAAAGCTCACAAAACGACAGCCGCGTGTCGGATAATGTCGCACTTGTTGTCGTTTACGTTAGAAGACCCGCAAGTTCAAAGAGCGTGTTAGCAGTCCAAACTTACCGTAAATCAAGATCAGCTTGTGCTTTGTGTGTCTCGCCAGTGACATTCACACGATTTACTGCTGAAAGCGAGTTTGTGGTTCCTTACCTCAGCGCTAACAAGAGAACCCCACCCTAAGTAGTAAGTGATGAAGAGAAATGTATGAAGGTGTGGGTGACCTATTCTTGCGCTGTGTTTAGAGCTAATCCCAATAAGGGTTGCAGATTTAAGCTCAAATTAGAGCCATCAATGCGAGAATGCACCTCTGGCCAGTGGGAGGTTTGAAAAGATCCAGCCCATAAATTAGACCTATTTGCGACGAGTAAAAAATACATAGAATTCAAAGCCCCATATTGCCGTGCTAAGGAAGACCGTCGTATAAACATTCTAGAGTTGTCAAATTTCTTCTGATAAAATTTTTATTTTTCAGGAATGCTATGAATATTTTTCCTTTAAAATTTCAGGAACTTTAGGTGCAATTGTGAACAAAATTATCTGAAAAAATTGGAAGGAAAATATCCACAAGTTTACCAGAAAATTCGTGTTTTACCTAAAGAAATTTGGCAACGCCTGAAGGCTCATATGACGATCTTCCACTTAATTCTGTTCTGCATGCGTAACATTCTCAAACTTCGAGAGTTCTACCTAGGTTGCAGTTTCGGGAAAAATGTATTACTACTACCACAAATTCTTACAATTTGGATCGTACTGAATAAGTGCAGGCGATTTATCGCTGAGATTGCATCAAAATTGATTGGTTCAACATGTGAAAATAGCCTCGAAAGTCAATCGAGTATTCTGTGGGAACAGGTCATTGTGATTGATTTTTGATTTTTATGAGTACTACATGGGAATGAAAAGTTAAATCGGTAGGAATTTCCTCTTCTTCAGCTTTTCTAACTCAAATCCTACAACTGAGGGGCTTGGAGGACAAGGCGCATAAGTGCAGTTTTTGAAAAAATTGATATATGATGATTTCAAGTAAAACTAGTCTTAATGCATATTCTGCGAAAAAAGCTCCTAAAACCCAATTTTTAAGCATCAAAAAGTCGCAGTTTGAACTTTCTTTCCGCCATAAGAATCCATGCAATTCCAAACGCTCAAACTTTTTTTTTTTCTAAATTGCAAAAGCTGCACTTGTGCGCCTTGTCCGCCAAGCCCATCAATTATTGTTTCAGGTCAAGTTCTGTTGTTTTGAAAACAAACGATACATCAAACCACTATCGAATCCTTACACACATCGAATCCTTACAATCCTTTACACAAAGAATCGAATCCCAGGATTTTTGTTCTTATGATATCAAATCACTCTCAATATACGCGCAGTTATCTGGTCCCATTACGAGGAGAGCCCGGCTTATCCTTAAGACCCGATTGAAGAAAATTGAAAGACCCCTTTTTTATTCGCTCATTTATTCTAGTTTCCCCGACGGGGCGGGCAGCGCAGCGCGGGGCGCGGGGATGGCATGGAATTGAAAAATTAAAGGGTAAAGCGCGAAATGATTGATGACAGGATGCAATCATAACATCACGAGAGCCGCGCCGCGTCGACAGGGACTCGTGCAGCGTTGCCGATTGCCCAGAAAAATCCCTCTTTTTTCGCGTGCTACCGAGTCGCGGTGGAGTTTTTTTTGGGGAAGGGCGGCAACGCCGCGGCCGAGACTCCAGAACCAGGAATCCCTTTCGTCGAGGGTGTAATTGATTTTAATTTTTAAAACAAAAGCCGGCCGACGAGCAGCGGGCATCCGGATCGGGAATGATTCCAGGCTCGCGACCGATTTCGATTCCCGAATTTGACTCGGATTGATCGCGATCCTGGCTCGCCGCCGGCGTTGCCGATTCGCTCTGAAAATCCTGCGCCGTAGTTTTTACATCGAAACCAGGTGGGGCACTGAAAAGAAAATCCCGGTGTATTTACTGAGAAAAGGGTAAAATTACCGAGAATTCAGGGTTCTATTTGATCCCTGTTTTTTCTTGGTAAAATTACCATTTATGGAATTGGTAATTTTAACGAGAAATCTCGGTAAAATTTTTGAACTTTCTCGGTAATTTTACTGGACCTTGGTAGAAACGCCAATATTTTTTATCGGCTGTGGTAGAATTACTGAGATAAACGGGCAAAGTTACCGGGAATTGATTACCAATAAAAGTGGTATTCTTACCTGAAAAAACAGTAATAATACTGGTTTTTTGGTAAACTTACCAGTCTGTCTTGGTAAAATTACTAATGATTACTATATATCTTTACATATACAGGCTTTACACTTTATCGCCATTGGCTATAAAAGGCTATAAGAAATTGTGTAGAAATGTGTGTGCTTTGGAAATCATTAAGTTTGATACGGAACTACCTTGATATTTAAAAAACACACATTATATTTTCCTTTAAAACATATTTTTTGTCATCAATTAAAATGAGAATTATCCATACAGAATGTGCAAACATATCAAAATCCTGAGTTGAAAAACGCTGACTCCGCAACATTAAATATTAGAGCCTAACACAAAGCGGAGCGTCGACGCACTGGCGCCTACAAACCTAACAGGGATACTCCACGCAATGCGCAGTGCGTGAAGTATCCCTGTTAGGTTTGTAGGCGCTAATGCGCGTTTCGCGCTCTCTGCCCGCCCGCCGCGCCGCAGCGTGCCACGGCGTCTGAAGCAACTATTTCACACCAGAGGTACTGCACAGTTCATAAGAAATTGAAGGCGCTCAAACATATTAAGAATGGCAGGCATCCTTCAAAAGTGCGGAGCTTTCCTCGCAAAATAAATCAAGATACTACGACACTAAAAGAGAGCGGTAGTCCAAAAACTAACTCAGTCCTTGTATCCGTATTTAGTAACGTTTAGCATGAACTTTATCGTCTGGCTGTTGCTTAATCGCCATCGGCTACAAAAGGCTATGAGAAATTGTACAGCCGGCTACAGGAGCTATTGGAAATCTGACAGCCGGCTTTAGGTCTATGGTATTTTGGAACACAGATTCTACTGCCAATTTTTACCAGGGTAAGGAAAAACGCCGTATGAACATTCGAGAGTTGCAAAATTTTACCGGGTACAACAGGTATTTTTGGAAAAGGTTTTCTATCTTTTTCCTTGAATTTTTCAGATGTTTTAGGTTAAATTACAAGCAAAACTGTCTGTAA